TCCCTGGCCCGGTGAGGTAGTGGTAAGTGGTGTTGACCGCCATCCACCTTCCTGGACCGCACCACCACACCATAATTACTTCCCACTTGTTCCCTGTATGCATTGTCGCGTGTACTTGTTGTGTGATGCTAATGGGTGTACCACAGTGACCATGCCTGCGGCTGGAGAGGTACCAACCTCTCTATGCCTCTTGTAAGACTTAAGTACTGAGGAAGAGCAGCACGTGTCATGTGAGAGACACGCACAGTAACTTAGCCGACTTGTGCCTTAGAGTCAACCACAACTTATTGAAGTTGAACATATTTTTAAGGGTTGTCAGAAGTGCATAATACGAGTACCGAGTATATTGGAGAGCTGGAGTGTACAGGGTGAACAGTGCGAGGAGAGAGGTACAGTCCTTTCGTCGACTTCGATATAGTGGTTGGTGAACGAAGATTAAACAGTTTTACAGTTTAATTGTTGATAACTGTTACGACACTACAAACATTCCCAATTACGTGAACGATAAGACAAACTACAGTACAGCGCGTGTGGCGGCCGCGGCGTTGCCACCGATGATGCACTACTAGAGCTTCAGAACGGACCGTGGAAGCTTTTGAAACTATGTATCCGGACCTGACACATCATCATGTGTCCCTCACTGTGTGAAACCCAGAGCCGCGCTGTAATGTGTTTTGCCATTTGTGTTATCCACATGGTCCGATACTGCATGTGTCATTAGTGGAACACCTGCGTACACCACGTATTTTGTAATGAGAATTTTTAGAGACAAAATGCAGGTTTTATCGTGCCTTACCACACTGACCCAGATCGTCTGTCACCGGTAGAATTTGATTATTAAGAACTTTCTGATGCAATAGTAGGATGATTGCTTCTCGCTCATAATTTACTGATTTTATTAGTGAAGGGAACATCGTCACTCTTTCGATATTTCTTTCTTTGCAACAAAAGTTAATAGCTCCACACCACCTTAAATCCAACATTTATATTATCACACTAATGAGCAGCAGTCCGGCAAGAGATTAGATAAAGAGAATTTTTAGAAATCCATTTACTTCGTTATTTTTACTTTGGTAATTTGTTCAGTCACGTGGAGAAACTTGTTACTGGCAATACTGTATTTACTCCTGATGACCTTGTTGAGACTGGCAAGCGTTCCCTTGCCTCTGTTTATCTTGTTAAGTTCCTTGAACCTGTAGCCACCGTCGACCAGGCAAAGTACAGAGCAACACACACACACCTTGTCAGTGTATGTATTCCCCCGTAATTCCTGTGCCGTGCTGATATAAATCTTCCCTTTGCCCGTGACGCTACACTCCTAACCCCCCCACCAGCCTGCTTCACTTAACACAAGCCAAAGTTGGGAAAAGTTAACCTCTCCTCCCGACAGAGTGGATAAGGGACCGGGAGTGGATTCATTATTAATACATTGTTCTAGACGGAGACGCCCATACCGGGGGCATCACCGGTAGGAGTGTGTCTGTCTGTCTGTCTGTCTGTCATCCAGCCTTCTCCCCGTTATTGTGTACGCTGTAAATGCAGTTTTTGTTATGCGATGTTTTAATGGAGTTGGGAGGAGTGAAGTCGGCGTGAAAGACCTGAACAAGATCACAGAGGAGGTGGATATGAGTTTATTAAATGCTCTCGAGTCTTGGTGGACTGTAGGGTTGCTCTCCGTCTTTCTGTGTGTCTGTGTTTGTCCTTTTGTATGTCTGTGTGTCTGTCTCTGCCTGCTATTTAGTTTGTCTGTGTCTGGCTTTCCATCTGTTAGTTTGTTTGTCTGTATGTCCATGTCAGTTTGTTTCTGTCTGTCTTTTTGTCTATGTCAATTTGTCTTTGTCTCTCCATCTGTCACTGTGACTGACTCCATAAACACCAAAGAAGATTGTTTCGTTGAGTTTAACACTTTTTTTTATATAATACTGTGACAATATCCACAAATATCTTTCGGACTCGATGTAAAGTGATCATCTGGTGGCCATTTTCTTTTTTCCTTCACTGTTCATTGCCTACAAACCACCAGAGATTTGTTCATCATCAATGACATATTCAGATTACAATAAAATAATGATTTATATTCAATGGATTTTGAATTAGCCGTAAAAAAATGACCGACTGGCGTACAAGGGTAAGGGGTTCGTGTATTGTTGTTATGCAGTACAGCCTGTGTGGTTAAGTTGCTGTAATAACGTGGTGGGTCTCTCGCAGTCAGCCGTTATGTAATGGGTTCCTACACTAGAAACTGCACACTGGGTTGTCATCTTATAATACACAACCAACAGCTGTCGCTATACAATGCAAATGGGACGAGGCGCGGCGAGTTTCCTTTGTTTTAGGCCGGGTTGAGGTTTCCGGGCCAACCGTTGTGGTAGAGCCTCCCTAGAACACAACCCTCATGGGACAACCAATCCCGCAATAGCCTTACCGGGATTCCCTTCCTGGGACACGCTTGAAGGGACAGCTTTTCCGGGGTGTACCTTCCTGGACATAATGGTGTTGGATGTCATGGTTGGAGGTGGATAAGTGGTGGGTGATAGGATAGGATGGTGAGGGTGTGAGAGAGGTAGATAGGTGGGTGAATAGGAGGCAGGCAAGTGGAGGGATGGTGAGCGGGGGGCCTGGCTTAGGTGAGACAACGCCATGTATTACATAATTTATGAGGATAGACTTGTCACACGTGGTACAGTTACCTCCCTCTGAACATGTGACGTTTTATTGTTTACCTGTCTATTTTTAGCCACTTTTTACATCAATTTATTTATGCCCATGTATGTCGCGAATATATTTTGGTTAATCAGTTTGTCCATCCTTCTCCTCAATTGTATATCAAATAAATCTTAGTTAATCGTAGTTAAATATCGATCCATTTCCTCAATTTTATGGCTAATCAATTTTGAGTCCGTCTTTACTCGGTATATTACCATTTCCTCAATTCCGAATAAATTTTGGTTAGTTATTATGGGTATTTATTTCCTCGTATTTTTTCCCCGCCTCCATCCTGTTGTGTTCCGGTGCGGGTCATCTTAATTGGCCTCGTAAATTGTGTGTAATGATCGCTCGCCCGGACAAGGCCGAGGGGCGCGGAATGATCACTCAGGTTGTTTACCTTTACAGACCTCTCTCTCTCTCTCTCTCTCTCTCTCTCTCTCTCTCTCTCTCTCTCTCTCTCCCTCTCTCTCTCTCCTCCTATTATATCCTTCCTCCTCTTCTGTCCCCTCCTTCTCTCTTTTCTCTTCTTGTCCTCTTCTGTCCTCCACCTCCTCCCCTATCCTACCTTCCACTCTGTCCCCCTTCTTCTGTTTCTCCCTCCTCTCTCTCTCTCTCTCTCTCTCTCTCTCTCTCTCTCTCTCTCTCTCTCTCTCTCTCTCTTACTCTCTTACAGTCCTCCTTCGCCCAAAGTATTCCTCTCCTTACCTCACTCCTCCTCCTTTAACCCTCCTCACCCTTCTGAGTATCCTTCCCTTCTTCCTTCACTCTTTCTGCCCCCCCCCCCTTTTCTCTCTCTCACCCCTTCTCTACACCTTTCTCCTTCAATCTCTTCTTTTTTCTTTCCTTCTTCCTTCCTTCACCTTCACCTCCTTCCCCGCATCCTCCATGTCCACCTTCTCCCCCCCCTCCCTCCTCCACCTTCCACTCCTTCCTTTATCCTCCCCCTCTTGCCTCCCCCCCACATCCTCCATGTCACCCTTCCTCCCCCCCCCCTCCTGCCTCCTCCATGTTTACGCAACTCATTATTTGGGTTTTGGCGCGTTTTGGGGTGGGTGTGGGGGTAGAAGTATATTTGTTTATCGCATGCGTTGTTTTCTTTTCCTCCAGGTGTCGTGCGTGGGGGGATGGGTGGGAGGGAGGTGACGTGGAAGGAGTGAATAGGGAATAAGTGGGAGGGGGAGATGATGGAATGGGTGGGAGAGAGAGGGGGGAGGTAGAATAGGTGGAAGAGAGGGGGGAAGTGGAAGGGAGTGGAAAAGGATGGTGAGGGTAGGATGGGAGCGAGAGGGAAGGTGAAGTGGGTGTATGGGAAGGAAGGAAAAGGCGAGTGCAATAAGGGCAGGGTGCTGGATTGTCCTGCCATCGTGTGTGTGTGTGCGTGTGCGTGCGTGCGTGCGTGTGTGTGTGTGTGTGTGTGTGTGTGTGTGTGTGTGAAGGGATTATTGCTAAATAGTGATAATTTGAGTATATTTCTCTGGTGGGAAAATTTAGTCTGACTGGTATTTAGGGACGATTATCTACACTAATATTATAAAACAAACTGTAAATGAATATCACCATTACTAACCTAACCTAAATAACCTAACCTAACCTAATTGAAGTATAATTTTATTTATGTTATGACAGTAAATGACGTCGTAAATTATTTTTTTTTACAATATATTTGAATTAATTTCTATTAAGTTTTATCAATAAAACTAAAAGTTGTCCCTATTTGGCGAGCACCGACAGGTTTAATAGGATGATTATCCGTATTTAATGTGACGTACTGACTATATAATATGGAAATGGTAACGTGAGGCTCCAGTGTGTTTGTTTACGACATGAGGATGTAGTTGTGATATTAATTATTACTTTAATTGTTGTCGTGTTATTATTATTATTATTATTATTATTATTATTATTATTATTATTATTTTTATTATTTTTATTATTTTTATTATTATTATTATTATGTTTATTTTTATTATTATTATTATTATTATTATTATTTTTTTTTTTTTTTATTATTGTCAGGTAGTATTGTTATTCCTATCATCAGTTTTATTTTTATTATTTTATCTTCCCTATAGCTTTAACATTATTACTGCAGTTAGGAAATTGGTGACAATAATGGAGGGAGAGAGTGTGTTTACTCCTGGCTAAGGTCACCGTACAATACACCATAGGGAGTGGGTTAAGCCTTGGGAGGGTGAAAAAGAAGAAAATGACACGAGGTGGTTTAAGTTACTGTAACCCTGTAAGTGAATTTGATAGGGTTGATGTTTAACCTTATTTTGTCTCTGTTTCAGGACAACACACAACGAGTTGGAAAAGAACAGGTAAGACTAGTCGGACTGCTCCTGCTTCCACCCCTCACCGAGTCACCTGTTACGTGTATGGTTTGTTGTTGATATAGATAGTCTATTTAGCCAGAAAAATACAGATACAGGGTGGACAATAAGAGCCATTTTTTGTGTTTGGAAGTTGATTATATAATATTATTAGTTATATGTAGTATATTATAAAGATGAATGAAAAGTCCGGAATCTAAGGTAATTTATTTTATATTAGTGACTACAGGTATAATATATGCTGCAAAAGTTCTCCACTACCTCGCTTATAACTTTCACTTGTTCTTTGACTTATTCTTCTCTCTTTAGTGATATCAATATTTTACCGGCAATATGAAATACTGAACAGAGCGAGAAAATCAGATCTTCAGACATCCTTTATGAGAGAGAGAGATGATAGAGAGAGACACTAAACATTTCTCATTGTTACTACACAATTACTACTCACCATGCCCACTACTGCATTACTCTAAAAACTACTAGCATTACTCTAAAAACTACTCGCAAGCAACTAACTCACAAGCATTACTCTAAAAACTACTCACAAGCATTACTCTAAAAAACTACTCACAAGCATTACTCTAAAAAACTACTCACAAGCATTACTCTAAAAAACTACTCACAAGCATTACTCTAAACACTACTCACAAACAATACACTAAACACTATTCATCCACTTACTAAACACTACTACTCACTCTCATTAGACTAACACTATTCTTCATCACACACTTAACTATTTACCTTCACACACTAAACGCGACTTGGGTAACTCCTCACACTACCGCTACACTAGACACTACTCTCAATCAGTCCTTTAAGCCTTACTCACCTTGGGAGGGGGGGGGGGCAGGGGCAACGATGGTGTACACGGGGGTGAGTAAATGGTGACGGGGTTGCATTGATGATACACCGCCGAGGGACGGGTTAATGACTCCGTCCCAACTTCCTTAAGACGTGGCGTGTTCTCTCTCTCGGGTAATAACAGTTAGCGTGTGTAGTCTTCACACACTCACAGTTTTGTGTTGGCCTCCGTCCCATCTTCTGTTAGTAGTGGTAATGACGTTCTTTGTTTACCCCAGTTGTACTAGTTGAATTGGGCTTTGTCTTGTTAAGTAGCGGACAACAACAGGCTTTGTTTAGCTTTAGTGTCTTTTGCCACCCTTGACACAATACGGTAGTTATTTTGAATGTAAACATATATGAAGTTGTGTTCCTTTAAAACAAGTGCCGGCAACGGGGGATGTGAGCTGGAAATATATAAATATATATATTTGTCTAGGCCAGATATGTATTTTCATTGTTATTCCTTTAATAATGTAATCTTTTATAATATCCATTATTAAAAAAGGTTACACTGAAAGAACCGGTCATTGCATTTCACTAAATACAGCTTCCAAGTTCGTGTCGTATTAATAATCGCTTAAACCAAAATAGTTTATGATGACCAAGAGACAGATATTACCAAAGCCTGGCCAGGTGAGGATCATCAATCATGCGCCGTGTGTATACCTCCTGTCAGTCCACGCTTTAACAGTGATCCGTCATTAACATCCATCCTTCATTATCTTTGATCCAGCATTAACCACTGATCCTACACGCTATGCATCCTCTCTCTCTCTCTCTCTCTCTCTCTCTCTCTCGTGTTGTCTGTTTCACTCGAGCCCCACCGTGTGTAATCTTCGTGAGCTCAAATGGTCTTACACACACACTCGATGTTGTGGAACGTCCCCCCTTGGTTTTGAGTGGGTGTTTGCACGTTCATTGTTTGTTACGTTCACTTGTTTTTGAGTCTTTGTCAGTGTTGTGATGCGCATTCAGTAGTTTTGAGGAGGCGTTCATTGTTTCTTCACATTTTTGTGGTGTTGAGTTTTAGTGGTCATGCTGACATGGTTAATTATACGGTCAGTGGCTTTTATTTGCTCCTCTATCTTTCATAAGGTAGTCACACTCCTCCTGTGCCTTGGGTGTTCCTGCGTTACGCACTTATGTATATGATGATCATACGTTTCTGTAACCCTGAGTTCATTGCTCTTGCGTTCACTGTTATAACTGTTCTGTGTCAGCGGCTAGTAGTCTTTCCTCAGCCGTATGTAAATATTAATCTTATTTTCGCCTTCCCACTTTGAAACCGAAAACTATAGTCAGCCATATTTTTTAACAATTATAAATAGTACTACATTAACGTTAAACACAGCTACTAGCTACATTTGTATTAGGATATTTAATTTGAAGGTAATAAAATGGCGGCCGAAGGTGTGGCTATTGGGGGAGGCTGGAGGCCACGTTAAAAACAAAACAAACGTTTTCGAGAGTCACTTGAACATCACGTTAAGTATTATTTTTTGAGATAGTTTTTTATCATGAATAGGTTTTAAGCTTATGTGACAAGTACAGTGGTAAGAGCAGTACAACAGCTTCCAGTGTGTGACCTGGTGGAAGTAATGATTTAGCGGGTATTTGGGTTTTGTCTCCTGGGTAACTAAACCTTGTATTTACAAGTATGGTAGTACCTCTAGTTTGATTTATAAGGCTGTCCCTCCTCCCGAGACGATTTGTTTACCCCTTCTATTTACAAAAGTGTACTTTGCTGCACAGTAACCAGCCCCGACAATTGTTCGGCTCAGCTTACAAGCTCATCAGAGCGCCATAAGCTAGCTATAGGATTTACGAGGCCGCCAGAGCCTCCGTCGCGATTTACAAACCTTTTAGAAACGTCCTTTATGATTTAGCAGTATTCCGGGCCCCCGACACATTTTACAAGTTACACATTATTCCATTATAAAGGTATGAGGGGTTGGGGAAGGGGTTTGGGGGTAGGTAGGGGGTTGGGGAGGAGGTTTGGAGGTTAGGCATGGGGTTGGAGAAGGGATTTGAGGTGTAGGTAGGGGGTTTGCGGAGGAGGTTTGGAGGTTAGGTATGGGGTTGGAGAAGGGGTTTGAGGTGTAGGTAGGGTGTTTGGGGAGTAGGTAGGGGTTTTGGGGGGGTTTGGGGAGGTGGTGAGGGTTGGGGTGGAGGTTTGGAGGTTAGTGGGGGGGGGGAGAGGGGGGGGGTTGGGGAGGAGGTTTGGAGGTTAGGTGGGGTTGGATAAAATTTGAGGGTTGGGGAGGAGGTTTGAGGGTTAGGTATGGGGTTGGGGAAGAGGTTTGAGGAAGTGGATGAAGGGTGGGGAGGGGTTGAAGGAGTGACTCGAAATTTATGTTGAAGGACCTGATGGATTGTTTGTAAATCTGGCTGGCGTTTATGTAAATAGTGCCGGGGGCACTAATGTATCACGGACAGGACCTGGAGGACCTGACCATCATTTACGGACCAGATTACTTTATAAATCATAGCGTGTGTGTGTACCTGTAAATCAGACCAATGGACCAGATTAAACTGTCCAATGTTTACATCAGTGGACCAGAGACTCAACTGTCCATTGTTTACATCAGTGGACCAGAGACTCGGCTATCCATTGTTTACATCAGTGGACCAGAGACTCAACTGTCCATTGTTTACATCAGTGGACCAGAGACTCGGCTATCCATTGTTTACATCAGTGGACCAGAGACTCAACTGTCCATTGTTTACATCAGTGGACCAGAGAGCTATCCATTGTTTACATCAGTGGACCAGAGACTCAACTGTCCATTGTTTACATCAGTGGACCAGAGACTCAACTGTCCATTGTTTACATCAGTGGACCAGAGACTCGGCTATCCATTGTTTACATCAGTGGACCAGAGACTCAACTGTCCATTGTCCATTGTTTACATCAGTGGACCAGAGACTCAACTGTCCATTGTTTACATCAGTGGACCAGAGACTCGGCTATCCATTGTTTACATCAGTGGACCAGAGACTCAACTGTCCATTGTTTACATCAGTGGACCAGAGACTCGGCTATCCATTGTTTACATCAGTGGACCAGAGACTCAACTGTCCATTGTTTACATCAGTGGACCAGAGACTCAACTGTCCATTGTTTACATCAGTGGACCAGAGACTCAACTGTCCATTGTTTACATCAGTGGACCAGAGAGGTTCATTATTTACAGTTCTGTACCAAACCGTCTGTGGAATCGCGTCAGTTTTACAAGTGGTGCCAGAGTATCCTTGTTTGGCTTATACCTCCACGGGTCAATGACCCCTCACACACTACCTGCGTCTCTCTCACCCTCCTAGCTAGTGCGTCTATCCTTGCCCCGAGTAACAGTCTCACCACATCTCGCCTTCTCCACCTACTTAGATGACTGTCAGAGAGAAAATATCAATATTATAAACTTATTAATAAATATTCGTAGACGCATACATTTGGGTGTAAGTAAAGGTGACGTAATTCACAGGTGGTGGTGATGATATGAAGGTTGTGCGTTAGTTTTAGATCACTAACTTATCATATTTTCTATTGTCAATTTATTTAGCCAATCATTACCATAGATGGGTCATGTTCATTTCATCGGTTGAAGAACAAACAATACAGATGGATGTCCAACTGCAAGTACATATATTTAACAATAATTTCACAATACACAGACGTCTTTTAGGAACACTGCACGCCATTGCCAAGTCATCTTGCACACATACAAAGCAGCTATAATAGTAGTTGTGCTTTGGTCTGTTATCCGTGGGCAGTACCGTAGCGACGCCGCACTAGCCTGGGGCCGTCGTGGGTCCGCCTAACCTTTATAGGAGGGAATGCAGAGGCTGTTGACACTGCGATGAACCCTCCGCTGCGATCACGCTGGCTCCCTGTTACTGTACTTTACCACACTACACCTCTCATCTTCCTTCACTCCCTCGGTGAATAGCTTGAGCCCCTCGTTTTAAGAACTTAACTGTACGCAGTGTTAAGAGACATAGTTCACACTCGGTCGATGCACCTGCCATGTGAAAGTTTACTAAGGACAGATAGCATTAGCGAACACTGCACCTGGGTCCGTTTTTTAATATAAATTCTGTAGTATATTTACTTGGTCAGAAAAAAACCCATTTATTTTCTTTCT